TTGTGCTCTTCCCTGAGATATCCATTGAATGGAAGGAGCCAAGCTCTCCAACTTTGCAGTCTATGAATGTGCGAACGTTTTTTGGGTTGACTACTTTGACAGAAGCATAACAAATATATTTGAACAACAGTACAGCATGGTCACTGCGTCCCAGAGGGGTCGTAACGGCAACAGATTCTATCATCAACTCTTCGTTTGTCAACACTAAATCCAGGATGGATGGTGATTGCAAGTTTCCGAATCTGGTATGTTCTTTCACGTGGTTGTACAGTGGTTGTGAGATAATCAGCTTTATGAATTGCTGTTCGAATAATCAATAGAACGTCAATAGAAAAAACCCTTTTGACAACAGCATCACAATCAGAATGAAGTTAATTTATTGATCTACAACGCCTAAAGTGAGTGACGAGTGATGTGAAATGCAGTAGGTAACCAAGATGATGCTGCTGCCAGGTGAAGATCCTGGTACGTAGTCAGTTTAGTATGGATGCTTTGAGTACTAGTGCAGCTTGGGTTCGTACACCTGTAAAGTGTAAAATGTCGTTACAAGATTAAATTCGCCTAACTCTCTCAACCCTCATCCTAACCAGGGAAAGCCATAGAGACATGAGAAAAAAAATTACCTGTGGACAAACCGCAAGTAAAGTTTCGGCACGAATGCAATAGGTGTTCAACTTCCGACATCTGTCTGTAGTCTGTGAAGGACGTAGTGTATGATGCAGAAGTTCCGTCCATGTAACTACACCGTGCAGAGACCTGTATGTTACGGGAACAGGAGAGAGACAGACGACTGCTGATGTTCGAACAGTGCATTACACGAATTTGGCGAGGCAAACAAACAATCTATGCGGATATTAGATGAACAGTTTAAAGTAATCCCGATCACCCATCGGAGCAAAAGCTTATTCTTCTTCAATGCGACGTGTGTCGAAGGAAAGAAAGCTTAACGTGGTCAGAATGAGATCAGGCATGTGAATCCCTGTCCAAGGGGCTCGATCACATAGGTCACTTGACGGTTCGTGGTGGTGAACCTTGGGATCAATGTAAACAATGATTAAAGACAGTGATATAGCTGACTGTCGTACATGCTAACGTTTGAGCATGTATTCGATTTCTTTGAAACTTTAATCGAGCCGCATTTTAGACCACCTCGTTACTGTTTCTATCCCTCTACTTCTTCATCCAAAAGACTAATGAAAACAACCACGAGAAAGTATTAGTTTCATGGCTATGTAAAGTGGAACAAAAACACTGTGGCAATCACTCGTTAGTTCAAATGTTCTGCTGGATTTCCACTGATCAAATGTGATCGTGAGAACGCACGTTTCTTCAAACAACGCAGACAGTTTGTGAACAAAAACTCAGTGCCCCGGAAGAGATGACTGATCTGTTTGTTGACTAACAGCTTCAGTTGAAACAACCATAAATTTAACGGTGATGCATCCGTCAGACCGGGATGTTCTAATCTCCCCATTGATCGCACCGTGGCTGGAGTGACCATTTCTATGGCAGTTTATTTTATCCCATGAGAGTTGCGAACCTGTATGAACAATCATAGACTGTTTCATCAAACGGCAATCGCTGTCCGATTTCTGGGGTATTTCGTAAAAATCTGAACCGGTCCGTTCAGATGCCACCTTGTCCTATTTTATGAAAGACTCTTGAAGCGTTTGATTACATAATCTACCGACTCCTATATTAGCTAAAATCCGCAACAAACTTTCTTCCTCTAGTAGCACTCAGTCGTCCAGCTCGTTCAAGACCAAGTATTGTCTGTAGGGTAACAGATCGATGATGATGACCTTACTTAGTAGTGAGCCAGATTCGCACACGTCACATTTCTGTCTACGGGCATTCCAGTGATAACCATGTCCTCAAATATGGTTGCGGTGGGTCCAAGACCGCTTGTTCAGCGGAAAAATGCCCGCCTACTCCCTGGACAACCACCTGTGGCTTTTTTATCCACGACCGCGAAATACCTCCGAAAGCCTTGTTTTCGTCGGGGATGGGTGTCTCTGGTTGCGGCTGGNAGAAGCCTTTCTCACTGCTTTCTCGTGGCAGAGGTGTTTTCCCACCAAAGTGAGACGACGAAAAGCCAATATCCAGATTAGTGAACCACCTGCAATTCACCTAAGGGAGTTGACTAACAATCCGGATTCCAATGCAATCAAAAGAAGACGTACGAACCACCCCCTCCTCACTTTCCTGATTGTGACAATGGTCACCAGCTTGATTGGGCATCGAGGTATATTCGACACCTTGGACGCGTAACTCAATCCAAGAGATGCATACACGATCGGATGAACTGGGCAACAGCCTCCAATGGATAACGGTTTTCACACACTACTCCGCTGCCTTGCGGATCAGTGTTTGTCCATCCGAAAGCACCGGCTGTGGATTTCTCAAGAATAGTCACCTACCTTGGCCTGGGCAACTTGGCAGTATCGCTACCACAAACAAATCTTGGAACTGTTTATCTTTTATAAAAGTCATTGTACTGGGATTTGTTTGATACACGTTCTGAACTCAGGGGTGTCCGGAAATATGTAAATATAAGACCAGGAGATGCGCCTACGCGCAGCTGACCGCAGACCCAGAGAATCCACACAGATTCGTGCATAATTTGTCAGATGGGGGAACTATTTCTTATCCAACTATGAACAGCCTTTCATTTTCTGATGATTCACTATTCTGACTTTGACACAGGAGGTACCTATTGGAAAAGGAAGGTGTTAAAATACGGCCATTGGCGCGGGTAGGAAGTGCCGCTTTGATGCTTGTTCTAAGCAATAGTTGAACCCGTATGTTTTCAGTTGCCTCGGCCACATACACAAAAAAAGTTGTGACGTTCGTTGAAGTTGGATTCAAACACTTTGTTGCGCATGATACAGATGTTTAACTGAGCATAAAGGGATTACAAAATCAGGATATACCGTTCTAGGCATTGTTTCGAAGACTTAATGTGTTCAAGGTGTGTAGTGTGTGCCGAATCAACGTTCCATTGCTCGCTGAAAAGCCTTCGAAATACTCGAAAACAGACGTTTTACTGATCGCTATCACG